ATGAAACTTGCACACTTTATTCGTATTCAGAGAATATAAAATGGATATATAAATAATGGGGGTCAGGATTTACAAAAAAAGAGAGGTTTCAGGGATTTGTGGCGTCCATTTTCACATCTGCTTTCACTGGTGTCAGCTATCCAGTCAGCCTTCGGCTCCCGATATGACACACGTTCCCCGCGACTTTCAAATTCGGATTTGGAAGCACTAACAATCAATAGATTAAAAAAGCTGCGCTAACACTTTATAGTCACAAAAATTACTGAATCGGTTATAGTATTTTAACCTCTTATATATAACTATACATTATAGTCGCAGAAACTACATAATTGGTTTCGCTGATGTAAACTGTACAGTACTATAGGCAGGAGTGGTGTAGGTAGAAAGTACTACGGCTGTATGGCCTAACCATTGAGCCAAATGCCAAACCATCGTCATTGAGAAAAGTGCTCCAAGAGAACGTTCATTTAATGTACAATGAAAAAGACCATGAAAACAGGTTTTGTTTTAAAGTATATAATAATTATAAATTATGTAAAATATTATTAAACATTGTTTTACCAAACTTGGTCAGGTTAAATTATATCTGATATGTAGTAGTGTTGTTTTGCCAATCGGATTTATTAACATTCTGATTTTTATCAAATGTGAGGTTGCAATTTCAGATTTGTGTTCAGTTTTTCAATGTTTTGTAACTAATTGAGATGATTTTGCTGTATTATGAATTATGTTTAATCCTACATTCTGCCTTTTTGACACTCCTGTTGTAGAATTGCATTTTGTTGTTGTTTAAAAGACAAAATATTGGTCATCGCATAAATATTGCCAAGAGAATTAAAGATGAAAGACAAAATGGAATAGAAGAAGAAACAGCACAACAGAATTAACAAAATATATTTCATTCGCCACACCCATGTGCTACTTAATCATCAAAACATCACGAAGCACGGAATGAAGCAAGTCGAGTAGGAATTAGAGAATTAAGGCAATTTTTGCCTTTTTGTGATCGAAATGAACAACGTGACAATGTAAATTATATGGGTGTATATACTAAATAAATACACATATCAATCAATAGATAATCTGTGAATGGTTGTTTTTAGGGACTAATTGCGTTGTGGGGTGGTGACCTAAAACCTTTTTGCAGCACCCCGAGTTTTTTTAAATGTCTTGGAAGTCTCTTCCTTTTCATTATTAATACAGATGATTTTGTCGTGTTTTGAAGTGAAGTTTTCTAAGCATACCTAATAATGTTTAATGTTACATTCTGACGTTTTGGCTCTCTTTGCAGAACTGCATTTTGATGTTGTTACAAATGCCATCAAATCGACAACATATTGTTCGTAGAATAATATTAATATTATTACTGAAATGTAAACGAGGGGATAAACATACACCAATGATACCAATGGAAGTGCCTTTCCAATTCAAACTATTGCAATTTACAATTAAACTGGCTTTTGCAGTAACAATAACAAATCGCAAGGTTAATCATTGCTATTATGTGGATTAAATTGGGATAATCCGTGATTTTATCACGGACAATTATACGTTGCATGCTCCAGGTACCCAAGGGATTTGTTGTTTGTATGCAGGGTGTTCTTTTTAGATGGCCCGGCTGAATTTCTCTCGAACCCATGACTTTATAAAAAATACGTGTTTAATATTTTTTACTCTAGTTCCAATTGTTCACCTTTTTTTGAAGAAAAATTATACAGGGTAACTCAGGCCCACTTCAACTTTAAAATTTCAAATACGACCATATATATCCTGACATAACATTTTAAAGGACTTTTTACGCTGAAAACAATGAAGCAATCGGATTTTAAATTGGACAAACAATGACAAAGCTATGACAAAAAATTGGAAACAGTCATTTGTTTCGCGTGTCATAATCAGAGTCCCGAAGTCCCCGGACAAGATGAGAGCGATACGGCTTAAAATTTTAAGTACATGTCTAATTTTATGTTTTGAAAAACCTAAAGCCCTTCGAACATTTCGGAGAGAGAAATTCGGATTTTCGCTAAAATTCAGTAAAATAATCAGCTCTTCGAAGTCGAAATTGCGCTGCCGGTTTCTTTTTCCCATAACTTGGTCGTTTTTTGACCAATTTACAATCCGATTGCACCATTTTTTCAGCAAAGAAAGTCCTTTAAAATCATATGACAGATGTACGGTCGTATTTGAAATTTTGATGTTGAAAAACAGTGTCTAGGCCAATCATAACCTAGTTGAAGAACTGCGGCAAAGGATAGAAAATGTTTGTCAATCCATTTCCTCTGACTTTATCGCTCTGAGCACCGGTGAAGAGTGGTTAAAAAGAGCAAATCCTCGCATCTTTACGCAAGACAGGCAGCTCGAACGTGAAATGTGATTAATAAATACCAAACCAAATGACTGTTTTTTTTTTTTTTTACTTTATCCTAACTTTGTCATTTTTTGACCAATTTAAATTCCGATTGCTTCGTTGTTTTCAGCGTAACAATCCTTTAAAATGATGAGTCAGGATGTATAGGGTTTTAATTAAAATTTGAAGTTGGACTTGGCCTGAAGGACCCTATAATTTATTTACAAAAAAGGTGAACATTTGAAACTAGACTAAAAAATATTAAAAACGTATTATTATTATTTATTTTGTTTATAGCGTCATTGGTTCAAGAGAAATTCACCCGGGCCTTCTAAAAAGGTCACCCTGTATGTTACAAATGGAACCACCAAAAAATGGTATATCCGAGAGCATTGCAATGAATTTAACGTGTGGTGTTTAGTGACTTTAATGATTATTTGGAGATCGTGAGATGCAATCTGGTGTGAAGTAGGTTTTATAAAAACATTTTCTTTATCATGTTACGTTTCGGTCTTTATTGACATCATCTCCAGGGCCTGGAATTTATAAATATTGTTTAAATTTTACAAATACATGTTGAAAATTTTAGATTAAAAAAATGAATTTATACAATGCTAGAAAATGTTAGATTAAAAAAAATTAATTTATACAATGCTAGAAAAATATCTAACATTCTATAAATTCTTTTTTTATCTAAAATGTTCTAGCCTTGTATAAATTCATTTGTTTCTTCTTTTTTAATCTAAAATTTTCTAGCATTGTGTAAATTCCTTTTTTTACATCCTACATGTATTTGTAAAATTTAAACAATTTTTATAAATCCCAGGTTCTGAAGATGATCTCAATAAAGATCGAAACGTTGGCATGATAAAGAAAATGTTTTTCTAAAAGCTATGTCCCACCAGACCACATCTCACGATCTCCAAATAAATAATAATGAATTTAACACTGAATTAAACAGAAATTACAATTTAAAACAATGTAATCAAAAACAATAATAATATTGCATATGTAAATAACTAATATGATGACTAATTACAATCATCGATATCAAACATTCAATTGTGTTCATTCAATTTATATACGCTTCTATCTATAGCAGTAGCAATATGTATACTCAAAATAATGTGGTAAATAACACTTTTTATTACCTCCCCTGGGCAACGCCGGGGTATAAAGCTAGTATTATATAAATTATACCATGTTGAATTATGTAATATTTTTAAAATATCAACTTCAAACAAATTCACTTAATGAAGTTTTTTTTAATAGAAATACGGTAAGAATTATTATTAGTAGTAGTAGTAATAGTAGTAGTAGTGCCGCGGCGAATTGGAGCGATACATGAGACGGGGCTTATTTTCGTACGGCGTACGTGAGCTTCCTTCCTCGCAACACCGCCAAGACGTGTTGGTTGCCATATCGCAACGAATGAAGGGGCTGCCGCGACGTGCCGAGGCCACAGGGAATACAAGATCATAGTCACCGCACATATAATATTGAGGCGATACTGTTTGATATTCTTCTCTAGGTCGATAATGTTTGTTACCTCGGCGGAAGTGCACGTGATGGAAGAACAAAATAAACCAGCCTTTTGAGCTTTGAGAGGCCTGTATTCCATCAGCATCGTATGGCCATGTTTCAGATTATAAAATAAACAATATTCACACTCATTCTTTCATTCTTAAAACAGATTCAACCTCCATCCATTACATTCATCAACATAAATATATTGCTTTAAAAAATATGTATACATTTATTTAAATATGGTTACCGATTTATTCTCTAGACTATCAGCGCCTAGCCCTGGATTCCCTTCAAACGGACTTTAAATATTTTGATTACTCCTTTTCTTGAATTTAAAAAGCAATGTGTAAGTAAATACATTTTCTGACATTATAAGGGTTTCATAGTTAACAGGATTTTTAATGAAATAATTTCCTTGTTTATTTATTTTTTACGAGGGTTCCAACAACAGAGGTCATATAACCCGTCAGTGTACCGGTGCTTTTGAAGAAAAAAAAAACATTTGCAGGTATGTCGGATTTGAATGCAGGGCCGCTGGATTTGAACCCGGGACCTTTACCTTACAGTGATGAGTGCAGAGTCAATGCCAAAACCGTTGCGGCCACCGACGCCTACTTTTATGAGCTCGTGAGGGGTGAAGTGCTTGGGTTGGTGTCATCTTTGGCATTGGTGGGTGTCTTTGGCGGGTTAAGTCTGGAGTTTTTATTGTTCTGTTGGTCTTTGTGATCGTTTTCCTTCTCAATTTGTTTGATGTTTTGAATGGTGTAACTTATGTGGTGCAAAGCCGGAACGCGTTTGAATAACCACGTAAACCCGCGAGTGTAGACGGACCCACTAAATGCCCCAGTGCCGGTTCAACATGTAATTGTTTTGTTGTTAGTCGTCCATTTTATGCACCGACCTTTGATGGTGTGACAGTTGTTATTTATAACCGCCTGCGTTGCGTCCGTCTTACTATCGATTTTGAAAGCTGCAACGTCATCTGCACATAAAAATAATATATTGCTTTCAAATATCGTAAAAAGAGACTAAAATTATTAAATTACACTAACTATAACCCGTTTATAAAAATATAGTTTCGAGTTATTTACCTACCGTTAGTCGGTTTACGAACATGTGGGAAGAAAAACTCATATGATCGATTTGTTCAATATGTGAGTAGACGGAAGACGTTGTTTTCTCGAAATCATGTTAAAAAATAATAAAAATTAAGTGAAAGGTATGAGCAAGTTTTGAATTTTATTGATCACAGATGAAGGATTTTGGAGAGGAAATTTCTCGTCTCCATACGGTCGAGGAGGACATCAAAGAGCTCAAGTGTAAGATGGAGCCGTTCACCTGCGGCGGCGTGAAGAGGAAGGAAAACGCCGATGTGGCAGGTGCGAGAATATCAGAGGGGCTGGACACGTTCGATCAGATTCAGCTGCTCTTCGAAGACCTGAGGAAGGTAAAGGTCAAGATCGAAGATCATCTGCTCACGGCCTCCGACGCCCCGTTCTCCAAAAACACCAACGAGATCAAGCACAAGCTGGAAGAAATCAGAGCGGAGTACACGAGCATCCTCAGCAACGTCGAAAGAAGCCACAAGGAAGTAAAAAGTTTAAAAGACAATCTGGAATCCTTCGATAACAACGACAAGCCGGAAACTGCACTGGAAGATTCAACATATGATCCTAACATACGGAATTTGAATTTAAAGAATATAAACAATGAAACAAAAATCAACCAGCCCAACAAGTCGACTCTTGTTTATCAACTAAAAACAGAAACCACTCACCCTATTGGGGGTTTAATAAAACCGGAAGAATTAGGACTAACTGTGAATAATTCGAGAATAAAATTGCATAAAACTAGGTCCGAGGTAACCGAAGAAACTACTACGACCCGACGGACTAACAGTGAATACCAAACAGAAACCGTCTACAAAGCGAATAAAGCATATAACAAGTCTGAGGAACAAGAAACCACGTACGAACGCTCCCCTTCGGATTCGGGACACAATGTCAATTTTGAAGCGGAATACAAAGACAAGAAACATCATTCTCTTGAAGAAGACTTGATATCTATAAAGTCCGACTTATCGCCCCCGGTGAGCGACCGTGCACCTAGTCCTAAACAATGGAAAGAAGCGAAACCGTATTCAAAAAGTAGATTAAAAAACGGTCGAATAAAAGGTATGAAACACGGTTTTAAACCGTTAGTTGTAAACCGAATTTCTCCGACCGAGCAGAAATATAAAAATTCCCATTCTGCACCAAGCATGGCTCACACCACCAGTAATCAAAGGGCCGGTATGCACCACAAAACCACAAGCAAGACGAAAATTTTCAGCGAGGACTTCTACTCCAACGATGACGTAGAATATGACAATCGAATGTATGATGTTGACAAACCTTCTTCCAATCCCGTCTTGCAGAAACGAGGGGTAGGTCCGGTTAAACATTCGCTAATGAAAGTGACTCAATCCAGACAAGATAACAAAAGTATAATGTCTATCGTCACGAACGACGATGCCCGAACATCCAAAATGAACCTTGCTTTAAAAGGATCTTCAACACCCGACACAATAAAAAAGAAAATGGACCTGAAAGAAAAAGAGATCCAATCTCTAAAAGACGCGTTAAAAGCTGCCGAAAAGAGCAACTATAAAGAGGCAGATCGACTGAGATCCGCAAAACTGAGCGACGTGGACATATCTGAAAAACTGCTGCACAAAAGTTACGAATGCGACGAGCTTCTGGAAGAGAACATCAAACTCAGAAAAGCTATCGACCAGATGGGAATAGAAATTCGGGATTTAGAACTAGCCAATCTACAATTGAAAAATGCCAAAGGGTCTTTAGAAATTTTAAAAGAAAAGAACGCGGAAGAAAACTCCGAGCTGCTGAATCGCGTGCAAATTTTACAGGAAGAACTTGACAAATGCCGTGAAATAAGCGACTTGAAGGAACAGCTGTCAGACGAGCTTGCAAGAGTCATGATGGAATTAAACGAATGCAAGGACATAAACAAAGAACAAAAAAACAAGCTGAATTCATTAAAGAAAGATAAGGACTGCAAAATATCAGATTTCGAAAAGAAAATCGAAAGTCTGAAGGCAGAAAATCAAGAAAACAAATCGAAACGAAAAGAGTTAGAAGACAAAAACAAATTACTAGAAAAGAAAAGCGACGAACTGAAGAAATCATACGAGAAAAAATTGGCAGAACAGACCGATCGCTTGAAGATGGCTGAAGCAAGGGCATTAAAACTTGAAGAAAAAGTACCATCCTTTGACGTGCAGCGAGAAATAGATGATCTGAAACGAACCAACAAATTCCTCAATGACGATCTTGTGCGATTAAAGGAACAAAACACAAGCCTGCAGTACGAAAAAGTGGAAATTTCTAAACAAAAAGAAAGGTGTGAAAAGGTGCTCAATACCATTGCCAACGAAAACGATAGCTTGAAGAGTGAAAGGATGCTTAATGATTGCGCCTGTCGAGATCTCGAAAACGAGCTGGCCTTACTCAAATCTGAAAAAATGCGACTAGACCATATTGTCAATACCACGAACGAAAGGATGATGGAAATGAACGAAAACAAAAATCAATTAATAAATAGGTTGACCGAAGTGGAACAGCAGAAAGCAAACCTGCTCCAGGATATGGACCTTGCGAATCAAGAGGTGTTGAGGCTGAGAGAAGAAAATTACCAACTGGATCTTAAATACCAACAGATTTCATTGGAATCGCGTGATAAATGTTCGACGAACGACGACGATTCCAACGATGTAGAACAGTTCGATGAACCTTCGGCTCACTCGGCTACAGGGGCTTCGAAACCTTGCTGCCCCCCGGCGAACAACACAGCAGCAAGCCAAAACGTTCGAGGATACGAATTCTCGATTAACAGCGGAATTCGAAGGAGTAAAGTTCACGGGCAGATTCAAAACAAATCGGCAGTAGAAAGTTCGACGCAAGTGTTTGCAATCGCAATCCCAACAACAGAGGGCGACGGACGTTCCAAGGGTGAATGCAAAAAACGACTTCCTCAGAGGAAAAAATGTTGAAGTTTGTTGTTTGCGGATATTTGTACAATAAATACCTTTTACTTTACTCCTTTTGTTTTCACTTTTTACTAAATGTGAATACTATATATACAATACAGACAGTATGTGTATGCACAATTTAAACAAATATTGGAAATCTTAGAATCTCTAAATCAGCACAAGAGTCTACATTTTAGATGTTTGTTTTTCACTGTCCGAATCACATTTCTTCTATCAATTCAAACAAATTACTAATAATTTACCTATTTATATTGTCCAACCACATGAACCTGACGAAGACCTTTGGTTTTCTGATCGTTGTGGCCAATCGAGAGCAAACTAAGCAGCCGTTTGCAGCAGTAAATATTTGTTTACCAGTTCCAACTGGCAAATAATGCAATGCCATTTAGATACCGAATGTTTTCGAAAATGCTGACCACTCTTCTACATTTCCTCTCACTGAATGAGTTCAAGGCTTTAATAGTTAATACGACTAAAAATTCCTATAAGCGGTTCAGCATCCAACACCAATAGATAAGCACGTCTTTGTATTGAACTATAATGTAAAGAAATCACATGTTTTTAGCCTGAACACAAAAAGTAGTCAGCCTTTGGGCTGTCACACAAACCCCAATTTCTGTATTTTCACCACAAACAAAAAATAACACAGTGTAAAGTTCTTCAGATTTATGTATTTTTCACGCAAGAATGCCGAGAGGAAAGTTTGCCGACGACGAATTTAAAGAGCTGAAAGTGAAGCTCGCGCGGACTGTGAGCCATTTCAACGCCTTGCAAAAGGAGAACCACTGTCACAACAGACCGTCGAAAACCAAAGATCTCGAGTTGTTGACTGGTCAAGTCATTCTTCAGCAGTTGAGGCTCCTTTTCGAAGATCTGAGGAAAATCAAGGGTGAAATAGAAAATAACTTCTTTAACACGGTCCACGGCGATATCGGCGGCGTCAACGGAGCAAGGCACAAGCTCGAACGAGTCAAAGAAGAGTACCTCAAACTCTTGTTCGATGTAGAAGAAGGCCGCAGAGCGATCGGCGTGCTAAGGAATAATATGAACTGTATCAGTGAAGTGTCATCTGGAAAATTGTCAAAAGAATACAACTCACCTGACGAAAACGGGGTCACATGGATACGGGAAAAATCGAAGTCGGAAGAAGAAATTCGCCATCCTTGCAGTCCTAGCGAAAAATCGACGTACGTCTATCATTGCAACACAGCCGTCGGAGGTCGCGGTAAAAATGTCGGGAAGGCAAAGGGGAAAAAAGAAGCGAGCCCTCCTCCGAAGGAAGAAGGAGACGTACCAGAAGAGCTGGATCAATATTTATCTTATATTTTCAAAATCGAATGTGAAAACAACTCATTGAGAGAGCAGATAAATCAACTTCAGTCTGAACTGTGCAAAGTCACGTCGAATTTCGGGGAAATCCATTCCAGTCTCGGGCTCGCGTCGTCGGAAAACAAAGCCAGACAAATGGAGCTGGAGAAACTGAACAACGAAGTCAAAGAGCTGAGGGACAGGATATGCGTGGCGGACAGAACTGTTCAAAATCTCACTGAAGAGAACAGCCGACTGAAGAAAGGCCCTAAAGTCGTTCAAGAGGAACCGCAAAGAGATTCTTACAATCCTGCCGGTTCGAAATCTCAAAAAACTGAAATGCGACGACTCCAAACCGAGCTCACATCGGCTCTCAAAAAGAACGAAACTTATCAAGTAGAACTAAAAGAAGCTGTTGAAATTGTGAGAAAACTGACGACACAGCTGGAAAGCAAAGAGAAGGAAATAGACAATTTACACACGATAAAGTTCTCTTTGGAGAAGAAAGCGCAAGAGAGAAGCTCGAAAGATTCTGAATCGGCAAAGTCTTCAAAATCTCAGGAAGTTATCCTAGCACAGAAACTATTGGAAAAGAGTTACCAGATAGAGGCTCTCATTGCAGAAAACGGAGAGTTGAAACGGAGGGTAGAAAATATGTCGGATGACGTTAGCAGTTTAGAAAAGAAGAAAGAATTTATTTGGAAAAAGAAAGATGAAATGGCTAAACAAATACAGTCTCTTTTAACTGAAAACGCGGATCTGAGTAAGTCGTTAGATGATAAATTACACGAAATATCTACTACACGGGCGTTGTTAACGCGTATAGAAAATTCGTTAAAAAGTGAGCAGAGAGGACACTCCACGACAAGGTCTGAGCTGACCAAAGTAAAGAAAGAATTGGCAGCGTTTATGAAGAAAATGACGAGTGATAAAGCCGAAAAAGACGTCGCCCAAGACAAAGCCACGGCGTTGCTCCAGGAAGTAGAGACCATCGAAAAAAAATTTAAAGACATGGAAGAAAAGAAAAACCAAACGGACAAAGAGGCGCAGCTTTTAAAAGAAAAATTAGACGAATTAAAAAGCGCCTATGAGAAAAAGTTCCATGAGCAAAACACACTGATGAAACTGAACGAAGGCAGATTTGAGCAGATGGAAAGCAAAATGGCCGAAGTCGCCAAAGAAAACGAAAATTTAAAAAAGCAGGTAAACGATTTGAAAAGAATTAACAATTCACTTGCCGAAGAATGCGTAAAGACCGGTCAAGACCATTTCAAACTCAAGTACGAGAAGATCGATTTGGTGAAGAAAGAAGAGAGACTGGAATTAACGATTAAGAACTTGAAATGCGAAATCGAAGAGCTCAAAAATTTCAAAGCGGTTCAATCTTCAGAAATCCGCGATCTTGATAATAGACTTGGCCAGTTGAAAGAAGAGAAAATGACGATTGAAAGCCAGGTGAAAACCTACGAAAGGCGGGTCGCAAGCCTCATCGAAGAAAACAAACAGCTCACTTTAGAGTTGCAAGACCAAGAACACGCGAAAGAGGAGCTGAAAAAGGAAATCGACGACACGAAGAGAAACTTGCGAGGCGTGATCAGCGAGAACTTCAACATCAGGCTGAAACTGCGCGAAAACACGTCGGACAACACAAAAAGCGAACCTCTGTCCGATTACTCGACGGATACAACGGCTGACACGAGCACGGTCATCCACAAGGGCGCAAATTTGACCATCTTGAACGATTTCCACGGCCAGTTCGACTCTTCCGACTATCGCCAATTTCCCGACTCGCCGTCACCCACGATAAAAAAGAGTTCAACGGCCGTCACGGAAACTCCAGCCAGGACAGGAATCTTGAAGTGGCCCCAGTGCAGCACCGCGCCTGCCAACGTCGGTGGACACCTCAATTATAGCGTGTACAACGTCGAATTCGACATTCAACCTCAGGCCGAACGCCACCGCCACAGGAACAGCTCGTACTCAGCCATTCCTGACATCTCATCCGACGATCTTCAGAACATTTACTTCAATACTGTTTGCGAAAATAAGTCTTGTAACAAACTGACTCAATAAATTTTCTCCATCGTCATGATTTTAACACGTGTTCGGTTTATCTCATTACTAGTTTTGGTACTTTTGGACATGAAGTCAACAATGCAGTTGGTCCCATTGGTAAAACGTCTTCTCCTTTACTTTTCTTAGCTTACCAATAGAAAGATCCATCATCTTGTACTTCGGTTATGGTCTGACAAAAGCATAACTTTGAATTTGCATAAAATCTCAAATTAATCCATATGTCAAATAAAGGATAGGATTTTGTTTAAATTTAACTGCTGTTAGCTCCATTTAAAATATTTTAAGTTTTTTGTCATAATAGTTTCTTTTTTATTTCTTTTGTTTTATTATTTGCTGAAAGTCCAAATTCTTCAAATTATCTGATTATCAATTTTATTCGAGTTATTACTTATTTTATTGGCTACCTTTCACAATTTTGTTCCATAAAGTCCTCCGTATCTCTTAAAATTTTGATCTTACTCAATTGGATTTCATTATTGGATAAGAGAGATTATTTTTTAAAAAAATATGTATTATAACCTTAAGGGAACAAAATAAACTTTCATTGAATGAACTTTTACGCATTTAAAAATTATTGTCTAAAGTTTAAGTAAGATTATCTTCATTAGATATGGCGCTTACAGAAAAGTTGCCCTAGCAAATGAGCTGTAAAGACATTTAATTGCTTAAAATTTGATTTTTCTGTTAACAAAACCTTCAAAAATATTAGACATTAAGATTTGGAAAATTTTATTAAAAAATGCCAAACGTAATAAACTAAACAAAAAGACATAGGGTTTTCAATGCTCTTTCCATTGGTGTAATCGAATTTTACAGTCAATTAACATTTTATGAAGCACAATAGACAATAAACTTATGAAATTATTGTGAAACATTGAAGTGACCTGAAAAGTGAAAATATATGGAATGTAGATCACATAGCCCAAGTGGTAAGAGCAGCGGCGTATTGAGCCGAAGGTCGAGGGTTCGAATCCCGCTCAGGACATTAACTTTTTCAGCTCATTTAAGACAAAAAAGATAACAAGAATAATTAATTGATATATGGAATATAATTGAGAATCATGCTTTAAACGATGCCGGTTTTTTAGTCCAATTTGGCATGTAGGAGATCCTTCTGAAATATTGACGTATGTCTACGGGATACCATATACAGTTGCCTATGTAAATAAGGCCTAGTGTTACCATCACCATTACTTTCACTAGATAAATCTAGGCGTGAGAGAATTCATCGGGCTGCGAGTTTTTTGATGTGCGGATTTATGGAGATGGAAGGGTTTTATGACATTTGTGGTAACGGGTGCGGATTACATTTTGAACGAAAGAAATATTTAGGATTGTATAGGTAATTTTGTTGGACACATAAAATGTCGCATCAATGAGTTTTTGAAAGTTTGGATACGGCGAATATTGGAATGTTTGGCTGAACCCCAAACTTCCAGCCCGGAAGTCCGCATCGGCTTAACGATAGTGTTATAAAGCAGCCTTTTATTACTGAGACGTGCGAGAGCTCTGTATCGTGTCATAACTTCTTGATGTGAAAGTTGAAAACTTAACCTGTGTGAGGATTCCACTTCGAGTCCTAGGTACCGTTCCTAGATAAGAAGGCAATAAAAGTGATGTAAACTGGTGGAGTATGTTTAGCAGAGTGGAGGTAGTTTGGGTAGATTTGTCTGCAATTAAATGTTATTCAACAAGACTTCGTAGAGGCGTTGATTACTTACAGTTACTTAAGAGGATCGCTATATCATCTGCAAAAGTGAGTGATTTGAAGATGAGAAATAATGTCAGCTGTGCAATCCTGCATAGTGTGGGGGAGAGAAACGCTACATCCTGAGAAACACCAGCAGTAAAAAAGAAATATGCAGAGTTGACATCAAAGACACGGAAAACCCGGTCAGTGAGGTAACTGAAGTATGATGTAGTAGCTGGAAGGAATGCCTTGAGTATGAACAGCATGCCCGGGTGTCTAACCGGATACAAAGTTTTGACTTACAACAAAAAAGGCCCCAGAACTGTACTGCCCCCCAAATCAAGGGAGAAGGAGGTAATATCTGGTGAATAGTAATTGGGAAATCCAAATTGACGGTCATAAATTATATTTTGACGATTTAAGTTAGAAAGAATTATGTTGTAAAAAAATTTCTACTACTCATTTTTGGACATTTTGGTTTTATCAATATTCGGCGTGCGGTAGGAGAAGTGCATATGTATTTGTTACGTTCTGGCACGGGAAGAGGCGGCGGCGTCGACGTTGCTTGATGATGCAGTAGTGGTCGGGGAGGCCTGATTCCTGCTTAAGCTTCCTGCAATATCGTTTTCCTTCAGTGCCATCATCAAGAATTGGGATTATCCTTGATCAAACCATCCTATATCTCCCAAGATAGGATCCACTATCTATCAGTGCCGACAACCACCTTTTCACCTTTAGTACGCGTAAACTTCTAGTTTCCTCCCTTATCCTCCTCTACTCAAGTTACGGATGTGTTGTGTACGGCAGACTCATTGGGGAGCTTGAAGATAAGCTTAAACGTCTGATGAATTATTTTGTACTTTTTTCTTCTGTTCCTCAAGAAGAACAGACATGACTGATCTGTACACCGAGGATGATGAAGCTATATCGGCATTTCGCCACCTTCAGTGTTGATTTCCGACTTCTTCGCCCTATCCGCCGAGACCCAGCCCTTTTCACTTTTAAATCCCGTTTCTTTGATTACTTCCTCCCTTACCTCTTGGCACCGAAGATTTTTATTTCCCCCTTTAGTTTAATTTTCTTAGTAGTAATGTGTGGTGATTAGTGACCGTTAATCGATAATTATTCAGAAATCGTAAGATGCGGTCTGGTGTGATGTAGGTTTCAGAAAAACATTTTCTTTATCATGCCAACGTTTCGATCTTTATTAAGATCATCTTCAGGGCCTGGGATTTACAAACATTGTTTACATTTAACAAATACATGTAGGATGTGGAAAAAAGTGAATCTATAAAATGCAAAATATATTTTTTTATATTCAATCAAAGTATTTCTACTCACTAAAAGTGTTTGTCTTCTGTGTAACTGCCATTCTTGCGTGTCGTGTTGAGAGTGCCAGTGAGATATTGCTGTTTTATGTTTTAAATGTTTAAATGCTGTTTTAAAAACCCAAGCAAAATCCTACAGCACTCGCTACCCACCATTTTGAACACAAACACAATTTCGACTTCAACAATCCAAAAATATTACATACAGAACAAAACAAACATAAACGTAATTTTTTAGAAATGGTTTACATCAACAGAGATAAACACAGCATCAATTACAGAACAGATACATGTAAACTCAGTCGCAGCTATGCCAATATCATTAATAAAATTCAATATAGATAACATGCATATATCATCATATCACATTTCACACATCAAACATTTTTCACATAGTCTAATTTTTCAACAAATTAGCTTTCCTTTTCCTATTTATCCCTTTCTATATAATCCTGAAAGGATAATCTGGCCGAACCATTACCAACGTATTTTTCCTTCGTTGGCTCTTTTCACCTCAAAGAAGCCGACGCCTTTTACAGAAATGTCTTTTCTATACCGACTTCCTTCCCCATCCCTTCAAAATCCAACATATATAAACATAAAACAGCAATATCCCACTGGCACTCTCAACACGACACGCAAGAATGGCACAATCACGCAGAAAACAAACACTTTGGGTGAGTAGAAATATTTTGATTAAATATTTAAAACAAAAATATTTTTTGCATTGTATAAATTCACTTTTTTCCACATCCTACATGTATTTGTTAAATGTAAACAATGGTTGAAAATGAAAATCCCAGGCCCTGAAGATGATCTCAATAAAGATCGAAACGTTGGCACGGCAAAGAAAATGGTTTTCTGAAACCTACATCACACCAGAACGCATCTCACGATTTCTGAATAATTTTCTTAGTAGTATATCTTTACATTATATGTGTACGTGTATGTGTTGTGAGAGAAAATCTTTGAATAGCATTATCAGGCTTCAATCTCTGTAAATATGGTGTATACATAACTATTCAAAAGGACGTTAAGCGGGATTCGAACCCACGATCTTCGGCTAGATACGCCGCTGCTCTACCACTTGAGCTGTCGTGACCTCGATCCACTCGGACATCAACTTCCCATCTCAACCCCTGGGTTCGAATCGCGCTCGTGCCATTAACTTTTTTCATCTCAACTAAAAACCTTAATTAATTCTAGAATAAAGTTTATTTTTCAATTAGTTCGTTGATCTGCTCGTTTGTAAAGAAAAAAATCTGTAAAAAGTTGGAGAACTCTTTTTTTTGTGCATAATTTTGTAAATAAAATGGCGTAAATCGGCTCAAACTCGTAAAACTAATTAATCGACCGGTTGCAAACAAAGTGCCGATCCTCGCCCTCCTTCGAGGGTGATAAACACGCCCGTCAGTCTCGTTCTCATTGATTTAAATTTTAAAGCGTGCAGCTGCACAATCCCGGTGCATTTTACCGTTTTTCACCGGCGGCCGCCCTCATGGGCCCGATCCGTATCGTTTTATTACTCATTTCCCGCAGCGATCCGCAAGGGTTAATTTGTGGTTTTTGAAAGCCATTGATTAATTTCCCCGGTCGTTTTATTATCGTCGTATTGTTTATAACGTTTTAAATCAGCTTTCAAATCGGGCAAAATAAGGACCACTCTTAATTACAGACTATTAAACAAATTAACGAGTTTGATATCTCTTCTAAGGTGTCTTTTGGGAGACGTATTTTCTATGTGTATTTTAAGCTTAACACATACCTGCCATACTTTGTATGAAATAGTACAGTAAGTTCGTTAATAGTGGTTAGCATGGGAGACTCTCACGCCGCGGTCGCGGGTTCGATTCCCACCGTCGCCTCTGTCCCTTTTTTCCCGATAACCCCCAATTTGAACAACATATATAAGAATTCGTCATAATATGCAAAGTTCATAAGGCAAAAAAAAAATTCGTTTATCAACTTCCATACCGAACAATTACCGCAGGCGTATAATTTCAACTTTTAAAATCCTGTTGCAAATTGTACGAACTTACCTATTGTAATTTCCCTACACTTAATCGTAGATGTTGAAAATGATGACAAAGAAAATTCATCAGTTTTTGGAGAGTAGATTTTTTGGGTATCATGTATCAAAGAAATGTTTTAACAAATTTGCTGTTTATGTACATTTGGCTTGATCGAAAAGCCTTAGTTTAATTAATATGTTCACAAAGTTGAGTTTCATGCAAAGTCCTTGTTACGACATCAAACTACAGCTGATTGGAAAATAAAAATAAATACCGTCTAAAATAGTATGCATATTATTGATATCTGTAAAGCATAATTAGTTAACTATAATAGATATTTTAGGTCGCAGTGAAAGAAAAGAAAACTTTAGACCAGAGTGACCTCGATGAAGAAAACACAATTTCCTAATTCCTAAAAAGAATAAATTTAAAAAATGTATACGTAACGGCAAACAATTATTCAACTATTTATAGAGAGATAGATAGGTAGATAGATAGAGATAGAGAGAGGGAGAGAGAGAGAGTGAGAGAGAGAGAGAGGGAGAGACACACATGAGAGAGAGAGAGAGAGACACACACACACATGAGAGAGAGAGAGACACACATACACATAAGAGAGAAAAGGATTGAGAGGGCGGGGGAGAACAAATAGATATAGATAGATGGAGAAAGAGAGATGCAGAGGGAAAGATAGAGAGAGAGACAGACAGACAGACAGAAAAACAGACAGAAAGAAAAAGAGAGATAGGTAGATATTTATGGATAGATAGATAAAAAAATTTACGAAAGTATTTCAACTACGAGGTTATACGAACCTTCTTGGAGCCCATTTCTAAATATTCAGGGCTGTTGGATTCGAACCTGAGACTTTACCTACAGAGACGAGCATCGTGTCAACGCCTAAACCGTTGCGGCCACCTTTAGATAGATAGAGAAATAGAAATAGAGAGAAAAAGAGAGAGAGAAAGTGACAGACAGAGAAAGGGAAAGATAGGTAGACAAATTGATGGATAGATAAAATCATAGATAAGAGAAAAAATTAATAGAAAAAAAAGCGAAAGAAGGTTTGTGTGAAGGTGAATAAGAGGAAAGCTTTTCAAGAGAGATAAATATGTAGTTAGATAGATAGAATGGTATATAAAGAGAGAGAGAGAGGGAACGATTTCTATCTAATTTTTAATTAACTTGCATTTCCTTTCCTTCAGAAAATAAGAAAAAAGGCAAAATTACTCTAGCGAAGTCTTGCTAAAATTTAAAGAATTATCAAAAATTGCATTTTTAAGACACTGCGAGACTAACTAAATAACTATGCATATAAATAATATATTGTTTGAAAATATCCAAAAAGACTACAATATCAAAGTGAATCCTCAAACATAACGAAATGCGATTTAAAATAAAGGCCTTTAAATAACAATCTACCCAGGAAAAAAAACATTTATCAAAAAACATTTTTAAAACTGTGAGCTTGTCTTGACAAACCTTCAAGCTCTAAGAAGCGTTTTTTATACTAATAAATACGATACAAATTTATTTAATTCTTATATCACTATCCCAGTACAGAGTGGAAACAATGCATTGTATTTTGGTTTTGGCTTTTTGGACCAAAGAGATTTCAGATCCAATAAGATCAATAAGTTAAAATTGCTATTATGAAGTTTGAATTTAGAGAATCCATGGTTTTCTCAATTACACAATTATACGTAGCATGCTCCAGGAAACCAAGGGATTTGTTGTTTGTATATATGCCAAATGGAAACACCAAAAACATTGTATATCCAAGAGCATTGCAACGAATTTAACGCTGAATTTAACAGTAATTACAATTTACTACAATGTAATCCAAAACAAAATAACATTGCATATGTAAATATCTAATATGATGACTAATTACAATCATCGGTATCAAACATTCAATTAAGTTCATTTAATTTATATACATGCTCCTATCTAACAATTAATATTAAATATTATGTATATTCAAAATAATGCGTTAACTAACCCTTTTTATTATCGGGCATCGCCGGGTTATAAAGCTAGTTATATAAAATAACGAGCATTTTTACTTAAAGAGTATAATTTCCACTTGTCTACACGCTTTAAAGTATATAATAACTAGCGATTATGCATAATAACTGAGTGGTGGTCTTTGAAATGTATGATTAATTGCAAGTCCAGAATTTATGATTTGACTAATTATGATCTCGTTTAATTTGGTTTACATTAAAATAGAAATGTAATTAATACAACCATAAAAACACCTACAGCTAGTAATAATAAACAACAAAATACGAGTGCCGGTTTTCCCTCTCTTTCAGTGCATTTTTCAATCAAAGATAAAAAGTTACAATTTAATATTCTTACGAAAAAATATAAAAAACCTAAACCAGCGAGAATAGTAAAAACTCAGTAAAAACAAGGTTTAGTTCATTATAAAGTATCGTTGTTTAAAGTGAACGTTTGTAATGATTGTAAAATTTATTACACAATAATTAACTAGTAAAGCCAAAACAATTGACCAAATCAGAAATTAAAAAAATTCCATTCATTCCAGGAATTTCTTCATTTGGAAACGTGCCTCTTTTCCATTAAATTTCGAAAACCCCAACACCACAACTCTTAATATTACAGTTAATTAAAATTAAATAAAAATTATGCGTGTACATTCGACACGGACGAACACTAACCCCCTCAAACAGGCGGCGTGTGAAGAAGGTCATCACGCAAGTTTTTTTTTGTATGAATATAAAATCAACTTATTCAGCAGGAGTGGGTTTTAACTAATTAAAAACTCTTCACCATCAGATAAAGTCCTCGTACTCACACTTGTTTACAGAAATATTATTTCTTTAAATCGACTTTTTTTACATTTTAATAATGACCTTGGTGCGGTCACTGGGTCACTATACCTAATGTCGTTGCTTTCAGTCTCTTGCTAAAGGATGCAGGAACATGACATCGACCATGCATAAAACAGTAAAATTTGTAAGAGTTCATGATTAAAAATGCCTTGGCAATTCCAGTATAACACATTAATGAATAAACAGTAGTATATTCCGCCCATTGTTCCTCCATTAATGGTAATGGATCACCAAATGATGGTACTTTATACTAGAATATAACTCAATTTTTAAAATTGCAATAACTGCAGTATTTCAAGTGTTTTAAGAATAACTGATATAGGAAAGGAAGTCTTCCCAAGAAACTCGGCCAATTTAAATATTGGCACACCAAAGAATTGGGCATTGTAGACTTACGGATGACTTCCTCATAGCAAGGCGGACTCTCATGATTTGTCAAAACTGAAAGCTTTTAATTTTCGATGGAGAGAAAAACAACTGATAGTGTAGGTGAAATATTGTCTGATTATCACCAAAGGTTGAATGATCTTGATGAAAATTTAAAAACTAGCTAAATACTTGCACTGTATCAGTAACACGCAAATAAAGAAGGTGGTTGACGCTGGTGGTAGGTACTCTTCTGAATTCTGAGCGTTAACCCTGTTTTTGTTTGTTTTTCTTTTTATTATTACCTTATAATATTTGTTATTATCTAACCTGCATCAATTTATACAATAAGCAGGTTACGAGGAAAGAACATATGTGGCGTGTTAAATGTGGATGTAATCCACCCGTCGATGACCAACATCAGCCAGACTATTCAACTGCACGACATAAACTCGAAGGATGGCCTTTTTGCTTGCTGATCGCAAGACTAACGTCGCCTCAAGGGGAATTGGTAGGGAGTGTGAAAGTGGAAAGGTCGCGGATGAAAGAGTTGGAATGAGGAGATAATTTGGAGTGGAATTTGATGAGGTCAGTAATAGAAGGAATTCGGAGATCTATTTATAAAGAGTATGGTTACTAACAAAAAAGGAACGTGCGGGCTTGTTTTGGCGGTAATAATCAATAAAAATTGGTTCAAAGTATAAAAAGTTTGTACGACGTGTCAAGAGACTTAGAGATCTCTAATTCCCAGGTATATCAAAAAGATTGAAATAGAGAATCCGAAAGAGGATTGAAACAAATTAACTTACTAAAAAAGTTAATAAATGCTAAAATAAATATTTTAAGAAATAGTATAAATCTTCAACGAATGGAGGTCCGTCTTGTAAATCCAAATCGTATCAATGCGAATCAACAGCTCGAAAGACGTTTAGATACGAGAAAGCTGTTTTTACCATCTGGAAAAAAATTGACCTGTAGAAACAAGACAAAAAGGAATTAAATCTCATTACCGTTGAATAAGTTTCGTTCGATAATTTTGCGAACCCGCCAACGGACAGGTCCAGTGTCTTCAGGCCACGGTGTTTAAGCATGAGTGTGTAAAAGTAAGTGTCCTTCGACCATTCCGTCCAGTTTCCCCTGTAGATGGCCTCCCCGACATCTGCGCTCTGCGATAAAAATCAAGTCAATTCAGAGTTACTGAACTAGATCGTAAAAACCAAACTATAATTACAGTATTTGTTATTGATTGGCCGAGAGCGCAGTATATATAGAATTGGACGCAATATGCTAAGGCAAACAAAACGAAGTTGAGTTTACCTGTTAAGGGTAGGTCTTCCTAAAATTAAATCATTAAGTTTGAACAGATCACACGATAATTGTAATTACAACGCATTAATATACTGGGTGTCCTTTGTAAATGGCCTCCTGAACCAATGACGCTATAAAAAATATTTTTTAAAAACGGGTTTAATATTTTTTAGTTTAGTTTCAACTTTTTACCTTTTTGGAGAAAAATTATACAAGGTACCTCAGGCACAGTTCAACTTCAAATTTTCAAATATGACCCTATACATCCTGACAGATCATTTTAAAGTATTTTTTTACGCTGAAAACAATGGTGCGATCGGATTGACAAAGTTATGGCAAAAAGAAACCAGCAGCGTCATCTCGACGAGGAGCTGAATATTTTACTGTATGTTCACGAAAATCCGAATTCTTCTCTCCGAAATGCTGGAAGGATTTTAGATTTTTCAAAAAACAAAATTAGAAATGTACTTCTTACTTACAATTTTAAGCCGTATCGCTCTCATATTGTCCAGGGATTTTAGAACTGATTATTACAGCCATCACACGTTCCTTGCACAAATGTCGATTGTCGAAGAAAACGTTCTTCCATATCTTATGTGAATCCAAGTTCACTTCTAATCGCATACTAAAACGTTGGACTTTTCGAACGTAGGCGTAGGAAAATCCGAAAATTTTACTCTTGTCATCATCAGGTGGTTCACAGTATAAACGTTTGGTGTGGACTTCTCGGAAATAAAATAATTGGGCCTCGTTTCTACGAAAATTATTTAAATGGACTCAGTGCCTCAATTTTTTGAGGGAGGTTTTACCATTGCGATGGGTGATGTACCCCTGCTACAATGACAAAGAATGATTCTCCAGCTTGATGGAGGGCCCCGTAGCCAATTATTTGCAGGTGAGACGCTATTTGAATCGTAATAAGTGGATATGACCTCATGGCCCACTCTGTTGGTCTCCTCGGTCACCCTATTTAACTCCACTTGACTATTTTCTGTGGGGCATTTAAAAAACAGTGTTTACGTTAATCATAACCCAGCAACCTCAGTTGAAGAACTGCGGCAAAGGATAGAAAATGTCAAATCCATCTCCACTGAGCGACGGTGAAGATTGGTTAAAAAGAGCGAATCTTTGCATCTTGCAAGGCAGACCGTTCGAACATGAAATGTGATTAATAAATAGCGAACTAAATCAACCTTTTTGCCAGAACTTTTTTGACCAATTTAGAATCCGACTATACCATTGTTTTCAACGTCAAATATACATTAAAATGATGTGTCAGGGTGTATAGGGTCTTAATTAAAATTTTGAAGTTGAACTCGCCTGAGTACCTTCTATAATTTTTCTTCAAAAAAGGTAAAATATTAAAAACTATTATAAATATTAAAAACGTATTATTATTATTTATTTTAAATTACTGGTTTTTTTTTTTACTTTTTGCCATATCTTTGTCATTTTTTTGACCAATTTAAAATCCGATGGCACCATTGTTTTCAACATAAAATATACTTTAAAATGATTTGGCAGGGTCGTATTTGAAATTTTGATGTTGAACTGGGTCTGAGGTACCCTGTATCATTTTTCTTCAAAAAAAGGATTCTATTTGAAACTAGACTAGAAAATATTAAACACTTTTTTTATAGCATCAATGGGTCAAGAGAAATACAGCCGGGCCATCTACAAAGGACACCCGGAATATTAACTCAATTTTTAAACTACTTACACTTGTAAAAATAGCTATCGTTAAAAAAAGCAATATTGTTGTAGAGCAGAAAATCATTAGATATGGAATATACCCGACAGTGTAGATGTTTTGGAAAACTCTGAAACAAAAATTTATTGTTTGTCATTTTTTTTGTGGCCTTATGTCCTTGCATATTATTCTGAGACTATTGACGTATGATGAGATGGTTGTTCTTCTCGGGAAGGGAGAGCATTCGGAAAATTCTAGGGTTGACGGTGGGAATCGAACCCACGACCGCGGGGTCCACTGTTCCATACACTCACGGGCTGCTACGATTGGCAGAGGCTTATTTTCAATAGGGGCATTTTTCTCCTGACATTGAAGTTGAAATACACAACATAGGTAAGTAAATGATTGATCGAAACATTTATATCAGTATGATTTCAAAAGATGGTTCATTTTTGAAAATGTAAGTAAGAAATGGAGAAGAAAATGAATATTTTCGCATTGCTAAAAGTAGAAACACAATGCCATTGAACCTTATTATAGTGTGATGGTGCTGCACCGATGATTTTAAACTGTTCTTTATGAGAAATGTCATTTTTTCTCGATCCTTCTTGCACTTCAAGTCTGGCGCTCTTCCCATGGTAGAGGTAAAAATGTGTTTAGAACGCTGCTCAAAATTTGATAATGATACGATACAAACCTGAATATTACAAATCAGAAATTATCCTAGTTATTTTCTTAAAATTTTTGAATTCATCGTTGGTTTTATAATTACTTTAAGGTTTGTAATAATTTCAAGGAGAAAACAAATCTGAGTCATGTCCATTCCAATCCATACTGAAATAACGAACGTGAATATCAAGGATTGCATAAGGAATGTCACTGAAATCATAATATCGTCAGAATACGGGCTCCACATTGTCATAGGATAATTTACGACATCCATTTCTAAAATTAAACCTTTTTATTTAGAAATTCCTAGGATAATCGTTTCTTTTATAACTATTGTAATAAACTTTACCTTGTTTCATCGGCAATCCTAGTAAATAATCAACAAACGGACGCGTAAAGGAATAAACCATTGATCCAAATCCTAAAAAACTGAATGAACTGGAAGAAAACAGTTTTGCAATTAACAATTTAAACAAATTTAAATTAACTGTCTGTTTGATAAACTCTTACACGGCTGTTAGTTTCTTCTTCCTAATTCCTTCTTGGCGTATCGATGTAATCACATCAAAGGTCTCGTCATCAAGGGTGTTTTTATAATCGTGAAAATTCTTTCCGATCGTACTGAAACGAATTTTTTTGCGTTTGCGATTGGTTTGTTATGTTATAATAAACTAGTCTTACATCATCGTTGAATTGATTAGTTCCTTGTAATAACGCATTGTAGCAAATACGATAAAAGACGTACCGATCTGAAACAAGTTGTGGATTGCTTCGCAGGTAAGCACAATGTTGCTATTTTTAGCAATGAGTATTGTTTTTATTATGCACAAACAAAACGCCGTTCCAAATAAATAAAATACGAACATTTTAATGTATGCTGAAAAACCTAGAAAATTTGTCATATTATATTCTTAAAAACATAATGTCAGTGAGTAAAACTAGATCTCTGTTTCGCCTAGCATCAGAAAATAATTTTAAACTTGAAATTGGACTTTGCTTTACTCACTGTCCAAATAGCATCCGCACAAATGTAGCAAGAAATAAAAATTCTCCTTCCGGCCCCTTTCCAAAGCAGCTCGATCTTTCGGATCCTGTAATAATTACATATAACAACAACAAAATGAACTGTGAAGAAAACGTTTTTACCAAGCTTTCAATTTCATTTTTCAATCTCATAATTCCTTCTATCGTATCTTCTTGACGAGAATGACGACGGTGGTCAAACTGGTAAACTGTCTTTGAAAGTAACAATTACCTTTTTAGCTGGCCAATTACTTCAATAAGCCTGTAATTAATTCCATTTCACGGAGAAAAAAAAGTATTACGCGAAAAAATTCGAGTCTCAAGTTGTTATCAAATGTACAATTAATCGATTATATAATTTTCTTCGTTATTTCGAAAGACGTAATCCATTTTTTATTAATGTACTTGTCTCTTCTACTTACTGTTTACGCCAACTGTACCTTTGTACATAGATTGTAAATAGTCCAACAAGTAGTTGTTTTCTTTGATCCCCTCCTCCTACGCGAGCCCTTCACACCTTCACTTCTCTGCTCACTCTCTTACGTTCTACTCCTTCTATTCGCTCCAGTTTTTCTAATTTAAAGTTGTGCCAGTGATTTAATGAGTTGTTGGTTCAACCCGAGAATTATATTTCCAATAAGATTAGCCGAAGCTGTACACCGGAGACTACGACGGACTCGGGCCCGAAGTTGCGTCGTCGCTGTGAAGTCGTCACGTTTCAGCAAGGTGAGTTTTTGGTTATGGTTTTCGGGTGAATGGTTTTATTTAATTTCCTACAAGTTAAATCATTGGCTCCATTCAAAGTCCCCATTTANATAAAAAGCGAAATTACTCTGAAATGGTTGAGAATCGGACCATGGACAATATGAACTTTTTTGTTCATTTTAGGGTGAAGAATCTACTGGAGAAGTTTGTAGCACGAGTAGCAATTCACCCTGTATATTGTATATTATTATATATTTCAGCATGTATATATACCTTGTCTGGACAGGGGATTTCCAAAGTGTCCACCTTCAATGCCAAAGAACGTAGTTATTGTAAACATTTAATTTAATTTTGAGAAGCTTTTTTGTTTTTCTTATGTTCAATTGAGACCAAAAAGTCTGTTACTTTGTTTTACTAACTTTATTTTTTTGATAGAAGTTCCAAAATTTAGCATAACTATTTGTATATCTTTTACTATTTTTAACGTAAATCGAATCTTTAGCTATTGAAAGTTAATTTTACCTTGGGGATAATCGGCCTTTAGAAATTATGTCCAGGTGTTGACTGTATATTAGCAGGGGTAACGTTTTTTTAAGCGCCATATCCGTCTGTGCAGGACCAAGAAAATCTACGTTAACCTTGAGATTGCATAAATTCATAACGGTTTATATTCTAAGCAATTTTGTATTTTATTCCATATAGGTTACGTTTACGAGAGAAAAAATTAATCTCATAGAGTTTTCAGTGCTCTTTCCCATTAATGAAATCCAATTGAACGCAAGATGAAGACTTTATGAGATACGGAGGACTTTATGGGATGATGTTGGGAAAAATTGAATTAACCTGAAAAATGTAATATCTGGAATGCAATGGAGAATCCTTGTTTGTATAGTAGAGTCTTTTTAGTCCAATTTGGCATTAGTAGGATTTGATCCTGAACTATTGAGGTATGTTTAGACACATTAACAGAACTTTAGAGGCATTATTTTTTTTTTGTTTCAACATTAACATTCAGTCCATGTATATCGTTAAAGAGTAACCTATAAAATAAATACCCCACTATATACAATATCTCACAAAATCATAAACAGTTTTTCTTTAAACTCACTGCCATGCTCGAGCATTCTGCCATAGTCCGGTGGTATTCCATTTCGGTCCCTATATGGGACAAAACTACGACACCCCTCCGACCGTGCGACACCGTGAGTCTGTTATCTTGGCATGCTGGGCACCAGGGTCGACTAGCGCCGACCAACAGGTACCCATGAGTCGCATGTGTGTGACCGATCCGCAGGCGGGTCAGGACAACGCTTTCCCTTCAGGATATCGCCTCCGGGCTCCACCGGTTGACCGTCGGCTTGACGGAGCGCGTCGGCCCAACGACGCTTCCACTTTTCTATATCATATTTTTCAATATTCACTTAGGCCGAATCGGGCTGGTCGCAACATCATCACTGTGAGAGACGAGAGTACCCGCGTTCGCGGCCAGTTTCTCGTTCTCCTCCAGTCCGACGTGCCCTGGAATCTAGGCTAAAACCACCCTTTTCCCGGCGCGCATGATATCCGCATATTTTAATTGGATTTTGCCGACAGTGTGTCCTGGGTATAGGGGTCTCTCAGGTCTTTCACCGCACTAAGGGAGTCAGTGCATATGAGAACTTAATAGTGCAAAAAAGCGAGCTGTTGGTATTCAACAACGAACGTAAACGGAGAAGGAATTTCAATTTAATTATTTTTATCAGTTCAACCTTGCACATACATTTAACACATATGCACAAAATTAAGCTTCTGATTTCAACTGCGAGAATGCACCGCTGAAGAATTCGGTCTTTTGGGCTGTAGAAGTTGGGCTCCAGGGAATGTCAACGGATAGGTCATTTCAAACCATCAAAATTAAAGATCATACTTTTTCTTTTTCCTGAGTATAACATTTGAAGAAAGCAAATTCTTTCCATACTTTTATGATAAGCATTTTCAATACNATTTATTTATTTATCATATTATATCTGCCAATTTATACAATAACTGGATTATTTATTTATAAACTTTGATCAAATTGATATTTACAGCTTAATGTATATATGATTATATTATATCAGGACATATTTTCAAAACAAAAATTTTGATTTTTAAATAATCTTGGGTTCTTATATAATTCAAACGTGTCATAACATACTAGTGCCTCGTTCTTTACAAGTACCGAGTATGAATATTGGAAGGCGCTCCATTTTCCCTAAACTCTGAGCGTCCCCGTGGGACGGGTCCAAGGGAAAAATGGCATCATAATAAAATTCCTTATGCTTCCCTGATAAACAATGCCTTGTTTAAATATTTTATCGGAGACTTCGGCTGTAAAGTCCCTATTGAATACTTTATCCGCGCTTTCGCCCTCGCCCCTCGATCCTCACAGCCGGTCCGCCCTCTTCCGGCTCCGGCACGACTCCAAAGCCTTTCGATCCTTTAATCCCGTCAAAATCTACTTAAGGAGAAAGAGGAAAATTAATACTGTAAGGGAAAATAGAATTAAGGGTGAGGGGGGGCGTTTGGAATAGGTGACACTGATGTGAATGCCCGATATACTTAATATATTAGTATATAAAGCAGGTAAATAATCAAAAACACGTTTTCTTATAAAAAATAATGATTTTTGTTAACTCTTCTTCATTGTTGTTCATTCTTGCTTTTACTTTAGTCTGATATATACATACATAAAATATGCCGAAAATGTCATATTTCAAACTTCCTTGAGCATATTTTTTTAATTTCAAGTTCGAAAGTTTGCAAGGAAATCTTAAACATAGTAAAGAAAGCCCAAGTTACAAAAGAACCTGCGTTTCACGCAGTGGAAAACCTGGGAAAATGGTAAGAAATTATCAAAAAAAAGAAGAAAGATAAATAAGTGGTGTTTAATTAAGTGCGAGCAAGCAGGCGCGAAATATTTAGGAAGAACTGAAAGTCAAATAAAACCCGGAATAAAAGAACATTTTGATGTGATAGAAAGAATAAAAAGGTTGGAAGATATGGCGAATAAAATGAAAGAAGAAGCAGAACAATGGAATAAGAAAATAAAAGAGAAATGATTAAATCCTCCCAGAAGAGACTTGAGAGTTTTAAAGGGAGAAATAAATAAAAGCATTAGGAGGTACGAGGAGGAATTAAAATTGGTGAACCACATGAACGAAACGGGTCATAACGTCTCAAAAGATAGTCAGTTCTTCATCGTGAAAGGTAAGGAGACACGACAAATAGAAGGGACTGGAAATAAATATATCAAATATTATTCTTTTTATGTAAGGTTTTGGTTGAGACAAAAAAGTCAGGGTCACGAGCGGGATTCGAACCCACGACCTTCGGCTAAATACGCCTCTGCTTACTACTTGAGCTATCGTGTCTTCGATCCACTCGGGCACCAGTTCTCCATCTCAACCTACTACCTTTTGAATTTTCCCTCTTTTTGCCATTTTTCAATCCCGCTCGTGACACTGACTTTTTTATCTCAACTATCTCAACCAAAACCTTACATAAAAAGAATAATTAATAGAAAGAAGTAACTTGGTCAATTGACCACTAAAACATAAATGGAATATTTCAAACCTTCATCCATTCATCATCACTCTTAATGACCAGCTGGAAGTGGAGGAAACACCGCTTTTCACCCCTAGGAGAAGCTGCCAACTACGGTGTCAATAAAGGGAAGTAGAGATGGAAAAATGCGTTCAAAACAATAATGAGCAGTCAATGTGTCTGAAGACTGCTTGTATTAACAGAAAACAGAGTACATCCTCACATTACATGGTTTCATTTATTTTCATTATATGTAAATTATAATATTAGTATACAGGTTGGCAAAAATGTATTTATTTGTGACTAAAATTTCTTCTGTATAGGATAAATCTGAATATGTTTACAACGTAAGCGAAAAAAATTTCCGTATAAAATGAGGTTAAAATCAGTTGGACCTAAAGGCTTAATTCATATTCAACCGTTGATCATTTAATTTGTCATAAAATTGCCACAGGCAGCTACTTCTGTTTTCATCTTCCAGTCGGACTAGAATGACGGCAAATATGATTTACCGAAAAGACCCGAGGAAGTGGACAGCTGGGTTAATTAAATGATGATGAGACCGATAAGTTTAATATCGTCCTGGAGTGGACCACCAGGTTTCTTAATGAGCTGTGGGACAGGGTACAATTGGCGGACCAAACCCCTAAAGGTTAGATTGGATACTTGTAACCCCGCAACCCCTTTGTCCACTATTTGGCCACCCCCGGAGCTAATCATAGTGCTTAATAGACTCGGCCGGCCGCCCTCATAGAAATAAATGCAATGCCGATTATACAATTTACTTAATGGAAGCCTTCTCATGATTTGCATGAATATGGAGTTTAATTTTCATTTTAAAATAGGATTTTTATCGATTAATCCTTTTATCTTCACTGGCCTGTTTACTTTAAGATTAAAAGCACATCTTACCAGT